CTTCTAGGTTTTTTTGTTTGTTTGTTTGTTTGTTTTGTTTTTTTAAGTTGTTGTCCCTACATCTATTTAGCAGCATTTAAAAAAGCAACTAACTCACCTTTATTAATTCCTTCCAAAACATTCAACCCAGTGTTCATAGAAACTCTTTGAACAGTTATATTTTACAGGTTTATGTAATAGCTAATTGAGTAGGAAATTACAGTAAGAATGGAACTGGAAAAAACAGGTTGGAAATACACACAATCGATACTGGGCATGCATGGCCATCACCTGGTAGGAGCAGATGGATTATGGAGAACCACGAAGAAATCTCTTGGCTGAGAGCATTCTATGCAAATGGGCATTTATCAGTGTGTCTTAGGAAGAGTGTTGGTCAGTCCAGTGAGATGGTTCGCCAAGGATTGATTAAGAAGAGTTTTTACTAAAATAGCTATTTTTAAAAATTGAGCACTTACTATATGCCAGGCACTGTGGTAAGCTTTCTATGGATCATCTCACTTAATCCTCAGTACAATTCTATAAGTTATTTCCCCCCTTTAAAGTGAGAACACTGAGAATCAAATAGGCATCCTGCTTGGTTCAAAGTCACAGAGCCAGTGAGTGTAAGACCAAGAATTCTACAATAGCAAGACCAATAAGATTCTGAAGTCTGTGCTTTTAACCACCTCATTACACTACGGGCTGCTTTTCCATGATAGCTGGAGATTTGTCCAATGGTGGTCCTCTGGTGCACATGTGCAGGGAGAAAGGTTGGCAGTCCCAATGAGTGGCCCATCCTTGACCACTCCATCTTCCACCCCAGGTTGCTGACTTGGCCACAGAGCTTGCTGATGAGCGCTTCAAAGGTGACGTGGCCTTCCAGGTGCTGGAGAATGAGCAGGCAGAGCGGCTGCAGGCCTTCCGTGAGGTACAGGAGCTCAAGGTGAGTGGTCATGGGGGGGGGGCTGGACAGGATGGTTGGGACTGGCTGAACCTGTCCCCTTTGAGCTCCTATCTAGTACAGCTTGCACAGATTACCTGACACCCATGCTTAAGGTCCTGAGGGACATTCGGGTCTTCCTGAGGCTTGGCTTTGGAGGTGCCATGGGTGGACAGTCCCTGGCTATGGAGGTGCCATGAGTCAGGACTGTGCAAGAGGTGGCCAACCCCTGGTTGCAGATTGTGCCCTGGGTGGACATTCCTGGCCTTGGAGGTGCTTTGGGTGAGGAATGTGCAGAGAGTGGCCAGTATCTGGCCTTGGAGTCTCCATGGGTCAACACTGTGCAGGAGGTGGCCAACCCCTGGTCTCAGAGGTACCATGGGTGAGATGGCCAGCCCAGGCTCCTCTCTAGCTTCAGTTTGGACCTTGAGTCCTTTCTTCCAGAGAAAGTATGAGCAAGTCCAGAAGAATTTGAAAGAAGTGGAGAAACAGCTGGAAGAAGCCCAGCAGAAAATTCAGTTAAATGACTTGGAAAAAAATCACACTGGAGGAGGTAAGCAGCGGCGGACCCTTGGGGTTGGACGCTGGTGGACAAAGCTGTCTTTTTATTTCATTCATAGATACACACTGAACACTTAATATGCACTAGACACTGCATTAGGGGCCGGGACTTTGGCAGAGCAAATGAGCACAGCCCCTGCCCTCTTGGAGCTTACAGTCTAATGGAACAGGCAGACAGGCAGACATTAAACAGATAATGCAACAACATCCCAAAGAATAAATTAGCAATGTGACAGAAGCTCTTTAGTAATAACGCAAAGGATGATAAGAAAAAAAAATTGGATAAGACACTTCTATATTTATATGATTATTTTAAAAATAAATTTTGAGGAAGGCAATTTAGTGGTGAAAAGTGGAACCTATGATGCATTTCTTGATTTGAATCTTGACTCCATCTCATTAGATGGATGGCTTTGGGCCAAAAAACTGTTTTGCCTCTGTTTCCTCATGTTTCCAATGGAGATAGTGACAGATAATTGGTAGAAAGCGTTAAGCCACTTTCTGGAGAAGAGACAAGGTGCATTTTCTTTCTGCTCTACTCTCACTCTCTCATCCTGGCTACTCCCAGGGAAGGCGTTTACCAGGGAGGTTAATGCCGAGAAGTTTGAGATTCTCTGATATGAGACACCCAACAAGGTAGGGACACGTTGCGTGTGGAGGCACAGGATCTGCAGTGTGGGACGGTGCAGTTTCCCAAGAAGAGCATCAGCACCAGTCCCATCTGACTGAGATTCATGTCTAAATGATAATACCCAGTTTGTTTTCTTGTGGCAAAATAGGGGAGTTGTATGAGAGGAGGAGATGCGCCTAGCTTATGAGCACATTAGTCAGAATGCAATATAGGCTCCTAGTGCTGGATGCTAATTCCATGAAGACAATCCACAAACATTTTGTTTTTCATTATGAAAGTAATACATACCCATTACAGAAAATTCCTAAAATACAGGAAAGTTGAAAGAAGCAATAAAACATTTTAATCATGCCACTGTAATGGCACCACAACCTCCTCTATGGATCAAGCTGGAGTGTAAATTATAAAAATTCATGGTTTTTCTCTTTATGCATAGCTAAATATTTAAAGATAGCTTTTTATTATATGCATCCAGCACTGAGCTGGGCACTGTGGGGGCTACAGAAGAGTTTTAGTTGAGCTTGTTTCTCAAGAAATTTGCAGTATAAATGTGGAGATCAGATAAACCCAGGGAAAGGGTGACTAGATAATGAAAGGCTGAATTCTACCTGGTGATTAAGAGTGGCTCGCTTGGGCATGGAAATTGGATGTGGAGCTGAGCCTTGAAGGGTGGAGAACAGTTTCCTTTCTCGCTCATGTTGCCCACCCATGCCATGCACTGTGTAGCACATCGTAGCACAGAACACATAGGAAGCTGCAGAAATGCTTCTCCTGCTTTCCTTTTCTTTTGTAGGCTGTGCTGCTTGCTACCATGAGGCTTTTTCCTGGTGGGGGGACAGAATTATTTTCCCATCATCATATTATTTACCTTAGTGGAAACTTGAACAAGCTTTAACGCTTTACTGTTATATCATCCTTCTTTCGGGTTAGTGATGTGTAAATCTCTATTGGGGTCACCTCTTCCAAGGTCTTAATTCTACCATCCATTCTTCTATCCGTCCATCCTTTCATCCATCCACCCATCAACCTATTCATTCAACTTACCATGCATTTATCTATCCATTTATTAATCCACTTATTCTTTCATCTATTCACTTATTTATCCATCCATCTATCCATTAATTCATCCGTCCATCCATTCATCCATCCAGTCATCCATGGACCCACTTCTCCATCCTCCCTAACATTCAGCCATCCATCATTCTGCCTACCCACCCAACTATCCATCCATAAATCCTCCACCCTACCGTCTATCCAACACCATTTATCAATTCATGTATCCACTCATTTATTCACTTATCCATCCATACATCCATCCATTTATCAGTGTGTCCACCTATCCATTCACCCTAGCATCCATCTATCCACCATTCCACTTAACCACCCTACTATTTATCCATTAATCCCCCACCCTACCATCTCTTCACCCATTCATCCATCCATTCATCCATTCACCTACTCAATGAAAGTTAATTGAGCACCTACTATATGTTAGGCATTGTAGTCATGTTCTGGGGACACAATGATGAGCAAAACAAGTTTGTTGCTCTTATGAATTTGAACCCTCTTCTGGATTTTCATAAGCTTCCCTTAAGACAGCCCTGATCAAACTAGGCTGCAGCTATCGTTTTACACATTTGCCTTCCTCACTGATTATCTGGAAGTTGAGAGGAAATGGCTTCTTACTCATTTCATTATCCCTTGTGCCTGGCAAAAAGTAATGTGCTCAATGAGTGTTTGGATGGATGAGTGGGTGGGTGGATGGATGGATGGATGATAGGTAAATAAGTGGATTGTCTCTATCTTAAATTGCCTGCTTGTGGAATGTTTTCTGCAGCTCCATTAATTTAAAAGGCATTATTCTATTATTCAGATGGTCAAAAGATGAGACATCATAACCTAAACTAGCTCATTCTATTCAGCCAAACAGTTTTAATCAAACCAGCAAATGCTTTTTAATATTTTTACCAATCAAGGGATTTGTTATCCATGTTATCTCATAGACACATCTTGTAACCAGTTTCTATTGCTATGCATTTACTACACCCTTGAATTATTGCTAATTCATTTATTTTTTAATTCATCTAAATAGTCAATAAGTACATACTCTTTGCCCCCCAATGGGGTTGGTCAGTAGGATAATTCTTTTTGCCTGAAGATTTTGTTAGATTCATAAGGCAATTGGCAAGCTCGTATCGACATGTATTGCTAATCTGAGTGTAGGGAACTCTTTTAGAGTGTGTTAAGGACTCACGGAGGACTAAAACAGCTCCTCTGCCCTTAAGGAAGATGGAATTTTCTTGAAAAAAGAAAGGTGTGAGTACACTTGTAAAGACAATTAAACAACCAATCTTAAAACAGCGAGCATTCAAGGACTTTAGACAGCTGGAGGTGGTCAGGACGGGCTGCCTGGAGAAAGTGTTTCTTAAAACTTGGACTTCAATTACAGTTTCTTAACCCGAAGTTCAAGACTGAGGTTCAAGGGCTCCATGAATATTGTGAAATTGCCTTACATCCACCCTGGTCTCCCAGCAGACGAGTGGCAGATGCGCCTTGACTGCGCTCAGATGGAGAACGAGTTTCTCAGAAAGCGTCTACAGCAATGCGAGGAGAGGCTGGACACAGAGCTGACGTCCAGAAAAGAGCTGGAGCAGAAGGTAAGAGGGAGTGGATACTCTGGGCCACAGAGATGTCAGGGAATGTCAGGTTCTCACCTCCATGGGGAGTGACCAATGTGCTGGCCAGGCTTGGAGAAGCAGAAAGGAGGCAGCAGCCACTTCATGTTTCTCCCTCTCCAATGTTAGGACAAATGCTGGTCACTGTGGGATATGGAAAATATTTTCTCTACATGTGGGTCTTCTATCCAGGAAGCAACTGACTCAGCCTATCTGAGTTAGAGTTCTATTTCTGCTTGGATCTTGTGGAAATCACTTTACCTCAGATTTCTCATCTATAAAATGATTGTAATATGCTCTTAAAATAGTCACATTTTCTCAATTCCCATTGCCTCTAATCTGCTACCTCCATTTATCATCTAGACCAGAGCCAATAACCTCCTAACTGATCTTGCCTCTGGCCTCTCCCTCAATCACCTGCCACACTGCGGCTGAGAGAACTTTCCAAGTCTGTTTCAGATTGTTCTGTCACCACAAATGATGTTGCCTCTCATGGTGAATATTTTTCTTGTGCGTTTTGTAAACTTTGATTGTGAGCTCATCTTCAATGGGTCCCTCTACTCCCACCCTGGTAGTCTCAGGTGTTCTGCATTGTGGAATGTTTCCTTTCTTTTCCTTCTCCCATGGTGAATTGTGTGGGTGTGTGTGTGTGGCTGTCTTTATTGAGTTGATTTTTTTTTTTTTTTTTACTTTTTGTGATTTTAATGGGAATCCTTTGATAACATGATTGTGGGTGTGTTCCCCTAGAAGAAGCACGTTTGCACTTTCTTCTGCAGCAGTCCCTCAGGTTATGCTACATTCTCAAAGTCAGATTTTTGCAACATGTGAAAAGTGTCAATTTGATCTCTAAACCCATATGAGGCAGAGACCTGGAATTTTGATTTCTTATGGGAGTACTTTCTCTCCCACTGAGAGCTGGAGTGGAAACAAGCTTTCTTACCACCTTCCACGCA